CAAGACTCCGTCTTAAAAAAAAAAAAAAAAAAAAAGGAAAAATTAACTCTGTCATAGAGGATGAAACTCTCAATCCCTCCTTTGAAATAATTACTTTTAGAGAGCTTGTTTGGAGGTTCTAGCAGGGCAGTGCATCTACTCATATACCCTTGGCCAAAGAACGGCCCTCCTCTACTGGTCGTCCGCAGCGTCTGGAGGGACATGTGGAGTGATGAGGGAGGAAGGGGGCACTCAGCTCGCCAGCCAGATCAGACAAATTAACCCTGGCCATCAGTGGGGTGACAGATGTTGCAGCCAGATTACCCTCACATCTGGAAATAATTGATCTAAAATGCAATATTTGAAAACCTGAATTTTCTTGGGTAAGCAACTATTATATTGCTAATTTAACAAAAGGCTTTTTAAAAAAATTAATATACTTAATTTTTAGAGCAATTTTACAATTGGTTAGAAAGTACAGTGTTCCTACACCCTGCCTTGCCTGCATCATACACACAGCTTCCCCCCTTTTTTTACTACGTATGTTTGTGTGGTACATTTGTTATACTTGATGAGCCAATATCAAAGCATGCTTATTAACTAAAGCACATACTTCACAGTTTACATTAGGGTCCATTCTTGGTGTTGGGCATTCTATGAGATGTCACAATGTGCAATTACATATATCCACTTTTATAGTATCATACAGAACAGTGTTGTTGTTGTCGTCGTTTTTCTCACTCTATCACCCCAGCTGGAGTGCAGTGGCGTGAACACAGGTCACTGCAGCCTCAACCTCCTGGGCTCGGGTGATCCTCCCACTCAGCGTCCCAAGTGGCAGAGGAAAGAGAAAGGACACTGGGTGTGAGGGAGGGGTGCAAAGTCAGGACCAAGCATCCATGGGAACATGGGGAGGATGAAGGCACAGAGGCTGGGGAGAGAGGGCAGGGCTGTCAGTGTTGAAGGCTGGAAGGGATGAGGGTGTCTGCAGGCTCGGCACGATCAACTGGGTTCCAGCTTCTGTGACCTGCCTGGAGGAAGACGAAACAGGCTCCTCATCCTTATTGGTAAAGATAAACCCAAACCCCCTCTCACCTCTCAGCTCTGGTCTTCCCACCCTGACCACTGCCCACCTCACTCCATGCCTCCTTGCCAAGCCTAGGCTGGCTTAGCTTTCGCTGCTCTGTGGTCTCACAGTGCCCTGTGGCTATGGCTGTAGCTGCACTTACCACTCTGCACTTACCACTTGTCTTACAGTTGTCTCTTCACCTGGTCATATCTGTCTTGAGTCTCTGCACTCCCAGGGCAGAGGCTGAGTCTCATTCATCCGGCAGCCCCAAGGCCCAGCCCCACTCCTAGCATGCGTCATTGCTTAGTGTTGAGTAAGTGACTGTCCATTGTGACATGTGGACATCCTCAAGGTCACATAAACAGCTATATGACACTAAGCGATGGGGAATTAGCTTGCTGCTTGGTGGGGGATGGGAGAATAATAGGTGGGAAGATGGTGGACGACGATGGAAAGGCATTTTTAAAGAGTGAACATTGAGTAGCTGAGTAGCTGAATTGTGAATGCAATTTCTTTTTTTTTTCTGCCTCAGTCTGTGGCTGGGACCCCAGGCGCACGCCACCACGCCTGGCTAATTTATGTATTTTTCTGTAGAGATGGGGTTTCCCCCTGTTGCCCAGACTGGCGTGAGTATCATTTCTTTTCTTTCTTTTTCTTTTTTTTGAGACTGAGTCTCGCTCTGTCGCCCAGGCTGGAGTGCAGTGGCACGAGCTCGGCTCACTGCAAGCTCCGCCTCCCGGGTTCACGCCATTCTCCTGCCTCAGCCTCCCGAGTAGCTGGGACTACAGGTACCGTGAATATAATTTCTAATCAGTCAAGTTTTTCCTTCTATAGACATGGGCAAAGTGCAAATAAGAAATTGAGGGAGATAATAGGAGGTAAAGCTATGCTCTTTGCACCTGGCCAGCTATGGGGAGAAGTGGACTAGGGGCTGCTTGGCCCTGCAAATTCTCTCCCTGGGCCATGCAGCTGTGCTCCAGACTCTGTCCCCACCCCTGGGACGTCCTTGTGGCAATCACTGAAAATTTTCCTGAAACAGCCATTTCCCCAGAATGCAGTCTACTGGGTATTTAGTCTAATTGAGTTAACAACTCGTGAACACTGTGGCGACATATCCATAACATGAAACTTACCATGTTAACCCGTTTTAGGTACACAGTTCTGTGACATTCAGTACATTCACATTGTTGTACCACGGGCACTGCCTTCCATCTCCAGAGCTTTTTCGTCTTTTCCAACTGAATCTGTGTCCATGAAATTAATTTCTCAGCCCCTGTCGCCAGTCAGTGGACACCTGGGTTGTTCCTACCTTTTGGCTATTGTGAATAATGCTGTTGTGAACATGGATGTACAAGAAAGTTAATAATTTTAAGCAGAATTTAAGAAATACAGAAGATTCTTCCAATGAGAAAATATTTCAAAAGCCTGCCATTCAAAGGTGGTCTGCAGAGCAACGGCGCTGGCTTCACTTGGGCGTTCGCTACCGATGCAGAATCTCAGGCTCTGCCCCGGACCTTTGTTATAGAATCTGCCTTTTTTTTTTTTTTTTTCCTTGAGACAGAGTTTTGCTCTGTCACCCAGGCTGGAGTGCAGTGGCGCCATCTCGGCTCATTGCAACCTCCCCACCTCCCGGGTTCAAGTGATTCTCCTGCCTCAGCTTCCTGAGTAGCTGGGACTACAGGCGCCCACCATCATGCCTGGCTAATTTTTGTGTATTTTTCGTAGAAAAGGGGTTTTGCCATGTTGGCCAAGCTGGTCTCGAACTCCTGACCTCAAGCGATCCACCCGCCTCAGCCTCCCAAAGTGCTGCATTACAAGCGTGAGCTACCTACTGCTCCCGGCCAAGAATCTGCTTTTTAACAAGACCCCCAGGTGACTGACTTGCACCTTAAAGTTTGAGGACTGCTTCAAGACATAGACTCCATGGAGAACAATAAACGAGTACTTTGCTTTTTATTCTATTTTTTTGAGACAGGGTGTCGCTCTGTCATCCAGGCTGGAGTGCAGTAGCACAATATTGGCTCACTGCAACCTCCTGGGCTCAAGGGATCCTCCCACCCCGGCCTCCCGAGTAGCTGGGACTACAGGCATGTACCACCACGGCCGGCTAATTTTTGTATTTTTTGTAGAGATGGGGTTTTGCCACGTTGCCAGGCTGGTCTTGAACTCCTGGGCTCAGGACATCTGCCCACTTTTGCCTCCCAAAGTGCTGGGATTACAGGTGTGAGTTAACACACCGGGCCCAGTAAATGGGCACTTCATAATGAAAAGTTTGGGAATCACTAGCTAGTGGAAGTGAAAGCAGTAACCCACCAAGGCCGTCAAAGTAGGCTAGTTTTAAGCTCAGTACCACTGGTACAGAGCCCTTGCCCCACTAAAGGTTGGCATGAAATGAAGCCTTCCCTGAACACTGCACAACAGCGAGGGAGGAATTGCGCCCACAGTGACCACATGGCTTTGTATTTCAATAGAGGCTGAGGCTAGCGTGCACCTCCCTCTCTCCTACCTCTCTTGTCTGATGAGACCCACCCGGGTCCAGGAGACTGAGTTCCCACTAGGGAATGAGCTTTTCAAAACAGCTCCTCGATTAAGGCAGGTTTGTCTACAGTTAATCAGCCACTAAGAGAATGAAATTTCTCTGTATGGTTGTATTTGCAATTAATTTATGGTTCTTTTCAAAGAAGTTACTGTGGTCATTTGAGGGAAATACAGCAAATTTTCCCCAGATTTGAATATGGGACAGTAACTCCCTAATTGTGTTGCAAGTCTTTCCCTAAGCTCTTGCTTTGATTGATAGCCCATTAGCATACTATCCCTTTTGGCACAAGAAAATGGCTAAAAGGGATGAGAACTACAACGTAAGAAACGTCTACTCTTAGCAGGATGCCATTTATGTGTAGTTAGCTCATCACATCCCCCTCAATTCTGAGATTGTTCTACAGAAGGTTACATGGCTACAAAATGACAGGAACCACGATTCAAATCCAGGCCTATCTCACCCCAAACCTACACCTTTCCAGGCCAGCCTCCCAGCCTGCACTGACCTCAGGTGAGCTGTATTTGGGTTTATTCTGGGTTGATGCTGCCTCTGGCCCACGTCACGTCTGCTCTAAGGCTGAAATGAGACACTGATGTTGCTTACAGCTCAGCTTAACACAGGCTTTTCCATTTCCTGATTTCTCAGGTATCAGAACGTGACAAGAAAGGCCTTTTTTTTTTCCCGGTATTTCCTGCTGAGTGAAACCTAGGAAATACCAGAAATCTTAGGGACATCTGATCTTGTAGGGATTGTTCCCAACCCTTTCCTGTTTGAGAAATAACATCATTCTGGTGGGTCCGTTGGCAGAGGGCTGGGAGGCGCCCTGCAACAATGGAGCACAGCAGGCCTCTGTCCTGATGGCCTGATCCATTCAATTTAGCATCCTGATGTGGAAGAGTGGGCTTATAACTGATCATGAAAAGCCTGAGATCTGCTGCTATGCGACAGATCTGCTAGCCTACCGATCACCCAGGGGCACTGCCAAATGGCCTAACACAACGACCAGTGTTTGTGAGCAGAGTGTGGACGAATGTGGTGCAACAGACAGAATCTTCCTGGTGAGGGCTCAGGCTTGCATGACATGGTATGACATGGCCGTAGGATGGAGCCATTTTGCAAAAATAATTCTGACCTGCCCAACGCTAAATGAACATTAAAGAAGCAATTGTATTCCTGTCTCCGAGAATCTTTCAATGTTGTACAAGAGACAAGAACCAAAACCAAGGAACAGTACAAGTACTGCCTGTACAAATAGAAATGAGTCACAAAACACTGGCTGATGAGGCTGGGCTACGCACAGAGAGTACCATCCTTTCTGCCTCCTAAGCCTTCCTCACATGGGTCCCTGCTCAGGTCCTATTATAGCGGGCTTTGCAGTAGCTTCCTCCTGTCCTCATCAGCCAGCTTAGTCCAGGCCACGGTGACACTTCTAAATGCAATTTTCTAATGAGTGCCCCTAAACACTTTCAATGGCCCCAAGGCCTACAGAACTTGCAGAAAGCTCAAATGCCCCAGGCGTCTACCTCACCCTTCAGCCTTCATGCTCCTCTCCGGGCCTCAGTATCCTGAGTGCTTAGCTTCCCTGTGTTTTTAATTTTTTTAAGTTCTAGGGTACATGTGCACAACGTGCAGGTTTGTTACATATGTATACATGTGCCGTGTTGGTGTGCTGCACCCATTAATTCGTCATTTACATTAGGTATTTCTCCTAATGCTATCCTTCCCCCGCCCCCCTCCCCATGACAGCACCTGGTGTGTGATGTTCCCTTCCCTGTGTCCAAGTGTTCTCATTGTTCAGTTCCCACCTATGAGTGAGAACATGCCCTCTGTGTTTTTTCAACCCTCTTTAGTACCATTCACTGTCTTTCCTCTTCCTGAAATCTCTCAACTAGGTGCAGGGGCCATAACCTGTAGGATACGTTTTTAGAAGTGCACTCTGTTAGTTCCATCAGGACATGCAGTATGGCCTAACAGCTAGGAGCACAGCATCTGGAGTCACAGGCACGGGGCGCCATTCTGACTCGGCCACTTAGTGTTACCTTCGCTATTTTATTTAAGCTGGGTTTTGGTTTATCTACGAGAAAGACAGTAGTCAGACCTGCGTTCTCAGATCGCTGAGATGACGATGTGTATTAGAACACTTCCAGGCATGCAGTGAGCAAGCAATCACCGCCAGCTGCTCACAACACTTACCATGGCGATCGACGCTCTCCGTTGGTGTTTCATTTGCCGACTTAAAGCTCTCTGAGGTTGGGACTGTCTCTAATGACCTGCGAAACCTCAGGGCCAATAGAGAGTCAGCGCTCACTACTGTGCCTGAGTGAACACTTGAGAACCTTCTTGGAGGAGGTTCCTATCAAAAGCTCAGACGCCAGAGGGAAAAGCGCTCCAGGTAGTGATGAGGACATGAGGAAGCTGCCTGGTGGGGCGGATGACCTCACAGGGGGAGGACAAGGAGGAAAGCCTGGCCAGCAAAGCCAGGGAGACGAGAGCCACCTGAGATGGTCTCTCCAGGGCTGTGTGGAGAATCGGCAGCTCGGACTCTCGAAGAAACAGTGTCAGGTAGAGAAGACGCCTGGTGACAGGCAGCCTCGGCAAAAAAGACAGTCATTTTTTTTATTGGCTTTAGCAGCTGCTGTCCCAAACCCTCTCCCCTCAACAAGGCAATTTTATGATCACAAAGAGGCCACATTTTCTTTAATTGACAACTCAATGTCTACATACATACAGTATTGCACGAATC